TCACAGGCTTTAGCCTCCTCTGCCTTTCTTTACAGCTCCATAAAAATCAGCGATTAACTCAGCTGTCAGCACTCTTAAAACTGTGATTATATGCGATCTCATCACTTTTACTGAAAACAGCTGCTGCAGCTATTTAACTCTGAATCTTCATTTTGCAAGTCGTCACAAATTTAGCCCAGAATGGAAGGCTTGAGAATGGTTCTGACAGAGAACGAGTTGGAAGAATGAGGCAGCATTCTGAATAAAATAAAATAAAAGCTAATATTTACACAAATGAGTTAAGACTGCTCAGACGAGACTCTATGCAGCCTCTATATTCTGTGTAAAGATGCAATGCTACATAAAAGTACTATAGTTCTGACCCACCTAGTATCAAAAAGAGCAATGATGTTGCTTTGGTTCAATAAATGAATGTAGAATCAGTTTCACATTTTTATTTATTTCATGCTCTATATTCATACTGTATATTAATAGGTCTGGCATTACAAAAATTATATTGTGGAATGTGGATAGAAATTAAAGGGGTCATATGATGCTATTTTTTGCATCTACTTCTGGAAGGCCAAATAAAGTGCTTTTGCTTTCGCACTGAAATACACAGCGTCTCCCTGAATCAACACTACTGCTGTTCCTGAAACCACGCCTTCTTTCTTTGCGTGCACATTTGGGTGGCATTATGCTAATATTTCCACATAGTGATGTAGACATGTGGGGGCGTGTTAGAATGAGCCGTTTTAGGAAGGCGTGGTTGACTCTTAACTTTTATAAAGAATATCTCTTTAGATTTGAGATTTTAGTCTTTGCAACTTTACAGATCTTCTTTATGCACCAAGAGCTTGTAACACTCCAAAGAGAAAGGAAAACTTGAAATCGCATCATATGACCCCTTTAAGAAAAGGGGTAAAGATAAAACATAGTTTAGATCCTCTAAAAAGTTAAAAAATAAATAAGATGTGGTTGCAATTTAACTAAATTGACGTAAAAATAATAATAAAACATGTTACATACTATATTAATAATTTATGGGAATGATTTCTAAATACATGGCCACAATAACTTTTCCCCTGCATGCCATGTGTGGTACTCCGTATTAAACATTTTGTGTAAATGCACTCATTTGGTTCCGCCTTTGTACTGTAACAATGAGATTTTAGTGATAAAAGGCATGTTAACAGTATGTAACAGAAGACATTTAGAACACAAAGCGGAGAGAAAGAATGAGCACACCTCCACTCTCACGGCTGCACAGATCTCAGATTAGCATGCATTCCCAGAACAATACCCCCCGATTAGGATGGGGGGTATTGTAACATCACTAAAATAAAACGCAATATCCCCCAAATGAAAGATCCAGTTAACTAATGGATGGCAGATGATAAAATAACAGATTAAGAAAGAAGCGGAAACACAATGTTGATTTATTCAATGATTTCCAAGATTTGCTGAGTTTTTTTTTTTCTCTGATTTGTCAGTGATGTCATCACAAATGGCTTGAGAGATTTGCTCATCTGTTATGACCTGGCAGCTTAGCTTTTCCACTGAAGACGCAGAAGGGGCAAGGAATGGGTCAAGCTGTTGAATCTGATTACTCACTGTACAGCTGGGAAATGCAGTGACGTGTGAGAGAGAGGAAGAGGGTATAGACTAGGCAAATTGAAGATGGCATCTGGCATCTCTGCTTTCAATTAAAAAAATCGAGTCGGTGGTTCAAACTGTTGACGGCTTATTGTCATGGTTGATTTGATTCTTTGACAAGTGAAAATGTAGCTTCGAAAACTTCCATGATAGGTTTTTACAGACTGTTTATTCAGAAATACCTGGCTTTTGCTATTTCTGAATTTGAATAACTTTTCTATAGTTTCTATGGTAAGTCTATATTAACACTAGCTTGCTCTATTATTTTTCTATTCTATCTGTTTTATTTTGTATTTATTATATTATTTAAAAAACCCTTGCTACGTGTACTGCATTAAGCTAACTGAGACTTGTTATAGCACTTGTATATCATTGCTCTTTTGTTGATTTTTATTGCTTCCATTGTCCTCATTTGTAAATCGCTTTGGATAAAAGACATACATGATTGACATACAGGTGTCTTGACAGTGCAAGTAACCCTGGTGTATTTGTTACATGGATCTCAGTTATGCCATTGCATCTGACTATTGTCTTCTTTTCAGATCGTGAGTCACATGAAGACACCCACGTTGCAGAGGTAACAGAGGATCTGCTTCCCCAGGCCAAAGTTCCATTATTCCAACGAGACCACATTAACAGCAAGAAGGCTCAGGCCATGCGAAATGATCAGAAGAGACTGGAGGCTAAACTCAGGATCAGGGGCAATGTTGAATACCCACTCTTCAGAAAGGACAAATATCAGTCTGACATTGTAAGTTTGTTCATCAATGTCCATCTGATGATAGTGAAAAACACTAATGATTTCATGCTGATTCTGTTTATATTGTTTATATGTTATAATGTTTATATTAATACCTAACACCTTTTCCAGACTGCTCTGTTAATGATGTTTGTGCTAACTGTAGGGTCCATGCCGAAGAAAGCTGGATGGAATCATCCAGAGGATGAAGGACACCTCCAGAATCATGGCTCTTTCACTGTACCTGCCTAACTGTGATAAGAAAGGCTTCTTCAAGCGCAAACAGGTTAGTTCTGCACTTCAGCATGTTTATAGATGTCAGCTACTGGCAAGCTTAGTTGTCGGAAAGTTTTCTTTCCTATAAACATATGGCTCTTGGCTGAGGGCAGGGTCAAGTTACATTGCTTACATTGTGTTGTCAATTTTTGGTTTTATGTCGCAGTGTAAACCCTCCAGGGGGCGCAAGAGAGGCATCTGCTGGTGTGTAAACAAGCATGGAGTTCAGATGCCGGGCACTGACTTTAATGGAAGCAACATCCAGTGCAAAGATCTTGAAAGCAACAGCAACAACAACGAATGAGACAACTCAAATTTGGTCACGTAACAATGAGATTGTCTTTCATCTACCATATTATGTGATTTGCCAATTATTTCTAATCTTAATCTTAAAGGGTTAGTTCACGCCAAAATGAAAATTCTGTCATTAATTACTGACCCTCATGTCGTTCCAAGACCTTCGGAACACAAATTAAGATATTTTTGTTGAAATGTGAGAGCTCTCAGACCCTGCATAGACAGCAACACAACTGTAACGTTCCCAGGTCCAGAAACGTAGTAAGGATATTCGGTAAAACAGTCCATGTGACATCAGTGGCTCAACTTTAGTTTTGCAAAGTTACGTCTTCCACCATTTTGGAGAGTACCCAAGAGCGTAATCGGCGTAATCAGCGTGTTTTACGTTTGGGAGAGAAAGCGCGCACATGAACGTAATCCGTTGTTTACACTTAGGGGAAAACGTGCGTATGCATTGTGATACTCTCTAAAATGGCGGAAGATGTAACTCGGGGGAGAAGAATTTTTAAATAAATTGTTATTTTTGTTTTCGTTGCGTACAAAAAATATTCTCGTAGCTTTGCAAAACTGAAGTTGAGCCACTGATGTCACATGGACTGTTTTACCGATGT